TGGTGGGTTTGAACTGCTGACCTCTGGGTTAGCAGCCGAGCGCTTAACCACTGCCCCACCAGGGTTCCTCCTGTTCCAGTAAAATCTTGGTAAATCAGCCAATGGCCAAGACATTGTGTGAATATTTCACAGCTAACAAAATATACTTTAAAAGATGGATAGCATCCATTTCAGGTTCAATTAAACGGGCTGATAACGGGCAGCCATGCCATGTAAACATGTCCCAATTTAATTTTCTATAGGAAACCATCTTCCTAATTTTGCACTCCAGGTGACACTTAGTTATGAACCAACAACACCCCTCCCAAGCCTGTGTTAAAAATCCAATGTGTGTACAACAGTTTATAAGAACAGACGGGCACTACTTTGTGACACATATCAAACATTATTACTGTATTACTGTTAAAGCTGTTTTAGTGTAGCTGCAAGTGTTTAATGTTTTTATGCATAGAAAGGTACGCTATAAACTAAAACACTTGACTGACATTAGAATGGTACCCAACTGTTCCAACTTAGATACAAACTCGACTTAAGCTTAGAAGCGGATCTTGTTCGTAATCTGGAGACTGCTGATGTTGAGTGAGTATCCAATGGAGTGAAGTATCTGAGCATGTTTATCAGGTGTTGAAGGGAGCAAGGCTGAAAGCATGCTGACAGGATGAGAAGTGACACTGACCAACTCACCTTGAACAAGCTATAAAATGGCTGACTGTATCATCCTCACTTGAAAGAGAAAAGCATTAAGGGGTTTATCCAAGGAGACTCAGCAAGCCAGGGGATAGCAGGCACAGAGCAGGCGTCGAGGTTCTAAGCAAGGGTCTGACCACCAGGTCACTAAAGAAACAACCCAGTCCAGATTTGCCTACGGAACCTCATCAGATGCAATGAGCATGACAGAGCAGGAAGACAACAGCCGTGTCCAGTGAAGGAGTGCCACGCCCTCTGGGCAGAGCACCGGGGCCAAGACCCTGGAGCTGAAGGCCTGTGTCCATTTTAGGCAGCTGACCTCAGCCCTGAGGCTGGTCTGAATGGTTCTGAGGGTTGAAAACAACACATGCACAGATAAACGTTACGTAAGACTCATAGCACAATAGCACTCACCCAAGAGCAGCTCTCAAGGTGCCAATGACCTCAACTGAACCAAGTTTTCTACAAGCTCACGAGGCTCAACAGCGTATCTTGCTCCGACAGACTCGCAAAGTGGACGTGATGTGAGAGCAACTGGCTCACCGCACTGGGCCACTTCTTGTCAAATAATCACACACGAGTTGCTAGCGGTTATGAACCGAGTGTCTGGGGCATGTCGACTCCAACGTGACTCCTGTGACCCTGGCAGGTTCCTGAGCCGTTCTGTCCCTGAGTGAGCTCCAGCTCCCTCACCTGTAAAACTAGGACGGCAGTGTTCGACACACAGGATACCGTGAAGGATCTTCACCTCACGAGCGGCCACGTAAAGCACACAGGAAAGGCTCCATTCATTCTGGTGACATGAAAAGGGGGTAGTAAGTACAAAGATATCATCTTGAGGACTAAGGTGCACCTGACCCAAGCTGTGGTATTTTCAATCACCTCACATGCATGCAAGAGCTGGACAATGAATAAAGAAGACTGACGGAGAACTGATGCATTTGAATTAAGGTCTTGGCAAAGAACGCTGACTATTCCACGGACTGCCAGAAGAACGAACAAATCCATCTTGGAAGAAGTACAGTCAGAATGCTCTTTAGAAGTCAGGGTGGAGAGACCTCGTCTCAGTACTCTGGACATGTTGTCAGGAGGCACCAGCCCCTGGAGAAGGACACCATGCTTGGTAAAGTAGAGGGTCAGTGAGAAAGAGGAGGACTCAGTAAGATGAATTGACACAGTGGCTGCCACAATGGACTCAGACACAGCAACCCCGTGATGGTCTGGGACCAGCCAGTGGTTTGGTTTGTTCTGTTTTTCAGGTTTTTATTATTATTATTATCATCATTATTATTATACATCATTGCTGATAACTATCAGACACAGCCAAATTCCAAACAGATATACAGGGTATCAACTAGATGCGGAGACACTCAGTGGGTGGGTTCTGAATTTCGTTTGCTTTTTTCTTTGGCGAGGTGGGAGAGATTTTCAAACAATATGAAGCCCTGACAGTATGATCTTACTACTTTTTCGTACCATCTGGGAGGCAGCTTTATCCTCATCAAACAACTTCTAAATGTAATTTTGAGAGAAAGAAAAATAATTCAAGGAAGAAACATAATTTATTCAGGGAGTGGTAAAAACAGACAAGAAAGTACTCCAGATGAGAGTGATACTACTTTTCTTTTTTTAAAAAACGATTTTTACCCTAGAGCTAACCCATGAGATTATACTGTTCTGCTAAAGGAAACAGTGACAGCTTAAAAAAAGTCCCCAGAGAAAGCGTGCCCGGAGCAGCTGAAGTGCATTGCAGAGGAAGCCCTCGTCTCCTGGAGGCCTGGCAGGGAGACGCGCTGCTGAGGGAGCGGAGGGCACTCGGGGCCCCGTGGCCGTCAGCCGTCAGGGAGCCGCGTCTCGTCGTCCTCACTCTTCCAGTATGGCTTTCTCTACTCTCTGAAACGCTTTCAGCTGCACAGTCAGCTCCCAGTACTTGAGGTACAGCCACATGAGCTTCCCGTTGTGGCGCCGGTTGGTGTTCCACATGTCCCCACAGTGTGTGTCGTGTCTGAATATGTCAGTCAGGCCAGGCACCATCTCCAGGTCAGCTGCGACCGGGTCGACAGACGCACGGACCAGCAGGCTCTTCTCGATGGCAAGCCGCTTGCTGCGTGGGAGGACCAGGCTGCAGTAGATGTTCTGCCTCTCCGTCAGGGCATCCTCAAACTCCTTCAGCAGGAGCCTGGCTCGCCTCTGCCAGTCCTCCTCCCTCTCCAGGCAGCTCTGGTAAGCACTTCGCAAGGGGTGCCTCTTTGCCTGCATGACCCGAGCCCGCTCCTGTTCCAGAAGCTTCTTTTCTTCCACCATCTTGCGGCCCTGAGAGATGAGGGCTTCCCGGTAGCTAGTGGTTCTGTTTTGTTCCTTTTCAAGCTCCAAGGACAGCTGGGCAACGGCCCGGCGGTTCTCTGAGATCAGGGTGTGGTACTTGGCCTCGAGATCCCGCTGGAAAGCGGCTGTTCTCTGACGAAATGCTTCTCTCTCCTTCTCTATTTCTTTCTGGGACTCCCTAGACCAAATCCAACCTGTTGTGAAAAAATGGGGAAGAAAAATATTACACAACGAAAGCCACAGTTGGAGTTTGGTACTTTACTTACAGAAAGCGTGACGCAGCTAAGGATGGCATTTCAGAACAGGTGTGGGACCTCCCAGATACCCAAAGGTAACACCGTGTATGTGGGCTGTTACGTGCCAGGGGCTGCCTCGTAGACAAGGCTATACGGTGTTCCCCTCAGTCTTCCAAGATTCTGAGAAAATCTACAACTGTTTCCTCTCACTCTTTGTGCCCCAGTGCCCCCAGGGAGATAGGCACATGTGAAAAACAAACATGGGTAGCTTCATCCAGTTGGCCAGGGTACTACAGAAGGGGGTCAATCTCCAGTGGTGGCTGAAGCAAGCCAGGATGCCTGGCTGTGCTCTGACAGGGAAGGGAACTAGGTGCATAAACAGGGGCATGAGAAGGTTGGCCTCCATGAGGTCTGGCTGCTTTGTCCAGCGGAGCCCATACACACTGGGGTTGGGAGATGCGGGGAGAGAGGCATGAGCCTGGCAACTGAAGAGCCTGGTCTGTCCTCTGTTGCACAAAGAAACCAGTGCCCCAAGACAGGGCCAGGGAGTGTCACTGTCACAAAGGCCAACGACGGCAACCAAGACAGGACCGGCGAGTGTCACTGCCACAAAGGCCAACAAAGGCAACAGCTGATGGAGTTTCCAGGTGGTGTTTCTACCGAGCTCTTAGCCTGGTGCCAGGCTGCTGGCGTGGGCCTCTGCTTCTATCCTGACCCGCTTCCTGCAGTGCTGGCAATCCGGCTTCCTTCCTCTGGTTCCACAGATGCCTCTCTCAAGGCCATCAATAGCATTAAAACATTAGAGCAATTTTCTCCACTGTATCGACACTCCTACCTCGTAGAACCACTGTGTTTCTATCAGCTTTCCTCGGATGGCTCTCCCTTATTCCGTTCTTTATCCCCAGGTCCCTCAGGAATCTCACCTAGTCCCTGCTATCAACTGTCTCTCTGTGTGAACAAAGCAGGGTGTGGCTCCCTGTTCTAGTCTCCTCCCTTTACCTTTCCAGTGCACCCCTTGATCCTTCACACCACCACCAGGATGCCAACTAGATTCCATTCCTTTTCTTGAAAAATTCTTGAATGGCTCCTCCTGATTACAGACTAAATTCCAGTTTCTTGTCAGAGTCCATAAGGACTTGCATATTTAGTCCGATGGACTTTTGCATCTTTTTCAGTTTCTCCCTGATATAAACTCCACTGCAGGCCCATGTGACCCCAGAAGATACTAGCTATCAGGACATGTGATGTCCCCTCCTCCACCTGTCCTCTTCTGCCTGGAATGGCCCTTCCTACCCAGCCCAGCAGGCCAATGCGTATTCGCCCTCCTGGACTCTGTTCAAACTCTGCCTTTCCTGACTCTCTCCCAAACTGAACTAGCCCTTCTCCCTCTCTCTTCCTCACACAACTATTGCACACCTCTCAAGGTTGCTCAACTTATACTGTATTTGCTTTCTTACTGGTTAACCCCCTGTCTGAGAGCACTTTTGAAAAGCCTGTTTTGGCGTTATCAGCCGACATAGGACTAGAAACTACTTTCAGGTGGGAAAGGTGAGTTTGGTCTGCTGCCTGTAGAGCAGAGGCAGCAAAAAACGCAGCCAAGTGAAAATGCCTCCGGGCGCATGGAAATACAGGCCGTGGGCACTTTACTCCGCATATAATGCCGTAGGCAAGCTGGAAATAAAAGGATGGTGAGTGATGCATCATGAGTAAACAACAGAAAACAAGAGTGATGGTAATATAAAATGAAACCAATCACCAGTTACCGGGGTGTCAATTCCAACTGTGGCCACCCCATGTGTGTCAGAGTACAACTGTACTCCCTAGCTGAGGTTTTCAATAGCTGAGTTTTTGAAATAGATCAGTTTCACATAAAGTAGGCTTCAAAGCAAAGAAAATTAACAGAAACAGAAACTTCTGTAATCATAGAAGGGTCAATCCACCAGAAAGACACAGCATTCCTAAACATGTATGCACCAAACAACTGAGCTGCAAAAGCGTAAAGCAAAACCAGTAAAACTGAAAGGGGTAACGGACAAATCCAAAATTATAACTGGAGACTTCCATACCCCTCTTTCAACAATTGATAGTGTAACTACACAGAACATCAGCAGGGAGACGAAGAACCAACAGTACATCACCTAAAGACATTTATAACTCCACCCAACAGCAGCAGATAACACATTCTTCTCAAGCGCCTGCAGAACATACACCAAGATTCGCCATACCCTGGGCCATAAAACAAACCTCAACAAGTTGAGAAGAACTGAAGTCATACAAAGTATATTCTTCAACCACGATGGAATCAAACTAGAAATCAGTTAACAAAAAGATAACAGGAAAATCTTCAAACACTTGGAGACTATAAAGTACACCTCTAAATAATCCTTTTGAGAGGAGGTCTCCGAATTGAATGCAAATACATCACAATGTGTGGGGCACAGCTAACAGTGATGAGATGGGAATTCGCTAACCAGAAGGCTAGCAAACCCACCAGCCACTCCTTGGAAGGAAGATGGGGCAATCTACTTCCATAGTGACACTGCCTCAGAAACCCAAGGAGGGGTCGCTATGGATCGGGTCCAACTTGACAGCATATAACAACAAAAAAAACTGCATACACGAGAAAACAGGAAAAGTCTCAAAGCACTAGTCTAAGCCTCCACTTCAAGAATCTAGAAAAAGCAAACTAAACCCAAGGCGAGCTGAAAGAAGGAAATAATAGCAGAAATCAATGACAGTGAGAACAGAAAAACAAGAGATGAGGCTACACCAATAGCAAGTAGGCACGTAAGCATGTAGGATGTTCAACATCATTAGTCATCGCCGTTCGTTGCCGTCAAGTCCGTTCTAACTCACAGCGATGAGCAGAACTGCTCCATAGGTATTCTTGGTAGTAACCTCAATGGAAGCAGATCTCTAAGCCTTTCATTCCATAGTACCACAATGGATGGGTTCAAACCACCAACCTTTAGCAGTCTACCTAACAGAATGGCTAAAATAAAAAATGGTGAGAATGCCAAATGCCAGCAAGGATGTGGAGAAACTGGATCACCCATACACTGTTGGTATAAAAGTAAAACGGTACAGCCACTCTGGAAAACAATTTCTTAAAAAACTACCCATGCGGCTACCATACAGCCAACACTCACATTTCTGGGCATTCATCTCCGAGAAATGTGAACTTACATTCCCACAAAAACCTGTCTGTCTTTCAGTGGTAGAATGGTTAAGCACATGGGTGCATCCACACCATGGACACTACTCAGCAATAAAAAGAAAAAACTGACACACTAGCAAACCGGGCAAGTCTCCAGAGATCTAAAGAATTATGCTGTGTGAACAAGGCCAATCTCAGAAGGTTACACACTGTCTAGAGTCCTTCATGTGACATTTCTGAAATGTCAAAATCATAGAAATAGAGAAAAGATTCGTAGTCACCAGAGGTTAAGGAGGCGAAAACGGTGGGAGGCTGGTTATAAATGAGTGACATGAGGGATCTTTCTGATGCAAACAACATTCTCTGTCTTCACTGTATCTGTATTAATATTCCTGGCTGGGACACTGTACTACAGTTTTATGAGATGTTGCCATGGTGGGAAAATGGGTAAAGGGTACATGGGATCCCTCTGTATTATTTCTTACAACTACATGTAAATCTAAAATTAACTCAAAATAAAAAATTAAAAACAGAGTTGGACTAAATGAGCCCTACTAGTCCCTTCCAGCTCTAAGACGATATGTTCTCTGAAGGAAAGAGGTCAAGAAGTGTGAGCTAGGAAGCAAGCCCAGGGAGCGAGAGGAGGAAAGGAGACAGGAAGGCTGGGAGAAGAGCAGAGAAAAGAGGCGGATGGAACAGACATGGTAAAGAGAGAAACCTGCCCACGACTGAACTCCTCAACACGTTCCCGGCGGACGGTGGGCAAGCCCCACTCCCGCTGCCACCCAGCATCCTCGTGAAGAACTGCCCTTTCAGGCATTTCTCCGGGGAGCTTCCCAGGGTGAGACTCTCTGGTCTTTCAGGGGTTCTTGCTCTTCCAGGCAGGCACAATCATACCTCTGTCTGGATTGTGTTCAAAGTACGTAAGCCAGCTTTTCACATGATCAAGTGAAAACTAGCCTCTCTGACCAATAAATCAGCCAATCATGTTTATCAACCGTCTGCCTTTACTTCCAGTGATGCTAGGACAATGGTTGAGAGCAGACATTACACTGTAACTTCTCAATATGTGGAAACACATTTTCAGAAAATACTTGTAAGAATATAAAATTAGAGGTTCTCTCTCATCACTTCATGTAAAAAAAACAACCAAGAAGGAAAAGAGAAAACACTCCTCAACCTTTCTAAGGGACAGAGGACATTTCAGTCTAAGAAAGGAGGCAAGAATTTCACACGTCAGAAAATGAAAGTCACTTCAGAGCTTCTTAAAATTTCAATTATCGATTACTGACTGCATGATTCCTGTCATTTCAGGCCTTCTCATTCATTAACCAAGGTAGAAAGTCATCACCTAGCCACGGGCAACAGGTAGTCTTTCCAAGTGTTTGGCAAAATTGCAGGCTACTGAGCTTTTCAACAGCAATGTCCTCAGGGCTGGATTTGGATCTGCCTGTCTGTCAGCAAGAAGCAGAGCCCTACCCAGTTCTATGGGGTTACAAACAGTGCTCTTGTCAGCCTCCGCTTCTAGGTTAAACCTGTTGGCCCATAAAAAAGCTGCTACATAAAAAAGAGGACTACAAAAAGAGGGCCATTTCTGCTTTTCTTCCATTTGATTATTCAATTATTTAAATTCTAAAGTGCCAACCCAAAACCGTGGGATGTGAAGAAATATAAAGTGAACCAACACTGACTATCTGGGAATGTATCACACAGTGGATGTTGCTAAGGGCTAAAATAACAAATCTGAGTGTGACTGGTAGTTCTGGAAGTGGTGCTAAGTCGATTCAAATCAAGAGAATTTCTGGTTTCATGGATGAAGTCGACCAGAGAGTTCCCTCCCAAACTGATGTTCCTTTAGGCCTCCCTCACTCTTCCCCATCACTCCTTCCAAGAGCAAGTGAAGCCAAGAGAGCGGTGCCCCGAGCGGGGACCCCTGAAGGGGAGCTAAACCCATCTTAAAACCCACCCCACACAAGATGCTTCTAAACACTCACCTGGCTGAGTTCTCAGTGACCTGAGGTCAGGGTGATGAGCCACTTCCCTTGACAGGGGCCCCGAGACTCAGAAGGGTTAAGTAATTTACCCAAGATTCACTGGAGGAGATAAAGGAGGAGGTACATGGGCACTGGTCAGGCTCACTCAGCCCAGCAAATGCAAATGTTACAAAAACCATGACTTACGGAAAGCGGCCAATCCCAACATCGGAACCAACAGGGCATAATTCCATCTGCTTCCATCACCCCCTTCAGCCCGGGAGTTAGGCCGGATATTCCAATTTGGGGGGTCATTTAAGTTATTCATGGAGATACACCTTCAAGTAAATGATAAAAACGTTAACCATATAAAAGGAAAAAGATACATCTGTCACAATGACATTACCCCATGCAGCATAGCGCGGAATCTCCAGAAAACAGGACCTTGGATGAGAGCAGCTCACCACCTAGTGGAGGAGAGTGGGAGAGACAGACATGTCCCAAACACAGTCATTCAAGCACAGGGAGAATGGGTACATTTCTACTACAGACATGTTTAAAAGGACACTTACAAGATTTATCACCATCTCAACTAAAGTGGGGTATTGCTGACCACACTGTTTCCGATGAGCTAGGTTTTAAAAGATCATCATTTTCAACAGGCAGAGATGAAAGGGACAGGTCTCTGAAGCAGATAGAATAGTGTGAGAAAGTCAGGAAGATGTGAGAACACTAGCTACCTCAGCAACTAGAGACCTCCATTGGGCATAGAGTGTTAATGGAAGACATAGTGCTAGAATGTGCTCATTCCACCATTATTCACTGATGGCAATGGACAGTGAGATTACAAACATCTCTGCTTAAGGCCATAGCACACACCCAGTAACTGGGGTGGGTTCTGATGCTAATACAGATTTCCTAAGTACCTACATAGGTACTGACAGCCGTCAAGTCTACCTCAACTCATGGAGACCCATGAATGTCACGGTGGAACTGTGCTCCACAGGGTTTTCGATGGCTGATTTTTTCAGAAGTAGATCACCAGGCCTTTCTTCTGAGGCTCCCCTGGATGGATTGGAACCTCCAACCTTCCAGTGTCTGTACCATACAGGAGGTGGGACATTTTCAGAGTACAATCATTGAGAGCTTTTAGCCTGTTACTGTGTAATTGCTATAAGGAGCTCTGGTGGCATAGTGGGTAAGGCATTTGGTTGTTAACCAAAAGGCCAGTGGTTCAAACCCACTAGCCACTCTGCAGGAGGAAGATGAGGCAATCTACTTCTGTAAAGATTGACAGCCTTGGAAACACTACAGGGTTGCTATGAGATGGAATTGACTTTATGGCAGTGGGTATTTGATTGCCACAAGTAATGTGCACTGATTACAAAAAAATTCATCATAAGGCACTGTGCTGTAGTAAATTACCTGGTATGGCCTTTCTAGCCGTAAGTCTTTGTAAACTCTGATGGAATTTGCTGTGAGCAACTGAGGAGCTCCTGACTGTAAAAGTTATCCACCTGGGGTATTTCTGTTGTGCATAACACAAAGCAATGTTCTGGGAGGTTCCTGCTCTCTCTCAGGTGCTTAGAATTCTGATGTTATGATTAGTTTGGCCACTGCTAGGCTCAAAAGGAGGCCTCCTAGAGGCAGAAGTCTCTCTCCAACTGCTGGTTGAGGAAGACATGTTGCTGAAAGAGACATGCGCTGCTGGGAAAGAGACGCAAGAGACACGCATTGCTCAGTGAGACACCGAGGGACACTCACTATTGGGAGAAAGACTGTGGGCTGGGAGAGAGACTGAGCTTTTTTTTTTTTCCTGAACTTGAATTATAGCCTGGTGCTTCCCCAATAAACCCCGTAATCTGTGAGTTCTGTGTGGCCACTGCAGTGAATTATCAAACCCAGGAGAGAAGTGGTGGGTGCTTTGGGAGGAACGGTTGGTGAAAGGGCTAGAGGGAGGCAGCATGTCTGGCCTCGCAGGAATAGGCCTTGGGTTGCTGATGGTGATTCTGTCTTCCTCTTGTGGGGTTAGAGGAGGTCAGAACATGTGGCCTCCTTGTCTTTTTTGTAGGCACATAAGAAAAAACTCGTTTAATTCCAGCTCAAAAAAATTTGATGGCTTTTTAAGTAAATACTTGTTTAACATGTAAACATACAAAATTATGATAGGCAATAAAGACATTTAAAAAAAAATCTGGCTCAAATTTAATACTAAGGGGCTTGTGATAATCACAGAATAACAAATTAAAGTATCTGAAAACACTAAACCTAAGTAACTTTCAATAAACATGTGGAAAGTATATTCCTTTCCTCCAAGTCAATAAAGTCCTCTTAACTGGGACATGTTATTAGGTGCTGTTGAGTGGATTTTGACTCATAGCAACTCCATGTACAACTGAAGGAAACACGGCCCAGTCCTGAGCCATCCTCACCATCCCTGCTGTGCTTGAGCCCATTGTGCAGACACCGTGTCAGTCCATCTCAGTGAGGCTCTTCCCCTTTTTCACTTACCTTCTACCTCACCAAGCATGATATCCTTCTCTAGGGACTGGTCCCTTCTGACAACAAAATTCTTACCATCCATGCTTCTCAGGAGCACTCTGTTTATACTTCTTTGAAGACAGATTTGTTCATTCTACTGGCAGTCCACGGTATATTCGATTTTCTTTGACAACCATAATTCCAAAGCATCATTTCTTCCTCTCCACTCACTCTCACTGCCGTGGAGTCAAATCAGACTCACAGCAACCCCCACTGAGTTTCCAAGGCTGTAAATCTTTACAGAAGTAGATTGCCCCATCTTCCTTCCAAAGTCTTCGTTATTCATCATCCAGCTTTCCCATGCATATGAAGCAAGTGAAAATACATGGCTTGAATCAGGCATACCTTAGTCCTCAAGGTGACATTTTTGCTTTTTAACACTTTAAAGAGATCTTTTACAGCAGATTTGCCCAATTGCAATATGTTGTTTGCTTTCTTGACTGCTGCTTCCATGGGCATTGAGTGTGGATCTAAGTAAAATGAAATCCCTGACAACTTCAATCTTTTCTCCATTTATCATGCTATTGCTTATTGGAGTTGTGAAAATTTGTTTTCTTCATGCTGAGGTATAATCTGCACTGAAGACTGTAATCTTTGATCTAAATCAGTAAGTGCTTTAAGTCCTCTTCACTTTCAGCAAGCAAGGTTGTATCATCTGCATACTGCAGGCTGTCAATTAGTCTTCCTCCAATCCTGATGCTGCATTCTGCTTCACATAGTCCAGCTTCTTAGATTATTTGCAAACCGATGGAATAAGTATGGTTAAAGGCTACAATCCTGATGCACAATTTTCCTGATTTTAAACCATGCAGTATCCCCTTGTTCTGTTTGAACAACTCCCTCCTGGTGTATGTACAGGTTCCTCATGAGCATAACTAAGTGTTTTGAAACTCCCATTCTTTGCCAATGTTATACATAATTTTTTATGATCCACACAGTTGACTGCCTTTGCATAGAAAAAAAATTCAAAGCCTGAGTGGCAATGGTGAAAGATTCTATGGGCAAAATATTGAATGACTCAGAAAGCATCAAAATAAGATACAAAGAATACATGGAGTGACTGTACCAAAAAGAACTGGTTGATGTTCAACATTTCAGGAGGCAGCATATGATCAACACCCAATGGTATTAAAGGAAGAAGTCCAAGCTGCACTGAAGGAATTGGTAAGAGGAGGGGGGGAAAAAAAAAGGAATGGATGGAATACTAATTGAGATGTTTCCACAAACATATACAATGCTGGAAGCACTCATTGGTTTATGCCAAGACATCTGGAAGACAGCAATCTGGCCAACTGACTAGAAAAGATCCGTATTTATCCCATGCCAAAGAAAGGTGATCCAACAGAATGTGGAAATTATTGAACAATATCATTAATATCACATGCAAGTACAATTTTGCTGAAGATAATTCAAAAATTCTATGTAAAGTAGTGCATAGATAGGGAACTGCCAGAAATGTAAGCTGGATTCAGAAGAGGATGTAGAATGAGGGATGCCATAGCTGATGTCAGATGGATCTTGGCTGAAAGTACAGAATACCAGAAAAATGTTTCCCTGTGTTTTATCGACTGTGCAAAGGCATTCTACTGTGTGCAGGGCACCTAGTCTAAAGAAATAACTGTTAATAAAGATAAACCTTTAGACGACTATACTCTTTACAGTGTTTTTAAAAATACTGAACTTCTGGAAACTATCTAAATGTCACTAACAGGGAATGGTTTGTGGTGAACATCAGAATCATGATCAGCACTATTGTGTTCATGGGGAGGGTTTAAATAATCTAATGTTCAGGACATCATGCTGGGTAGGGGGTGGATGGAATAAAGAGGAAGACATCAAAGAGATGGCCTGACACAGTGGCTGCAATGGGCTCAAACCTGACGGTGACAGTGAGGATGGCAGCGGCCCAGGCAGTGTTCCTTCTGTCATGCACCGGGTGGCTGTGAGCTGGAACGCACTGAGGGCACCTGACAACAATATTAGGTGGAAAACCCGGATAAGTGATTTCCTGATCACATTACTTCTCACCATGTTTATTTCCCACGCCACTTCTTTCCACAAATGATTACAAATGCCTCTCAAAACTACAAGCACGAGGAAAATAAAACTACTACCCGAACCAGACGTGAAATCTGGCGGAGGTTAGTAAAACGACAAGTAAGCCAAAGCGTTCACACAGGTTTTAGAGCTGACACGCTCCCCTTCCCCGGAAAAAAACACCAGCTCGGCTCCGAGCGTCCCAGGAGGGAAAGCGCCAACTGGATGACCTCCCTGTCGGGTTCTGACCGAGGCAGCGTCAGGGCGCGAGGTCGATCCTGGGGTGAAGGCATTCCTGCGGGCCACCGGCGGAGAGAAGTCCTGGAAGACTGCAGCCGCCACCTAGAAGCACACCTGGCTCCTCAGCCGCAAACACGGCTGGGCGGCCGTGGCCACCG